TTGGGAAAGATATGATAGTATCTTCTAATACCCCTGAAGGTGATATTGCATAAGAAGTCATGACCTGTTCTCTGTCATGCCAAAGAGCAAGACATGGAGTAATTGTCTCAAATTACAGGAGAGCAAGTTCTGGCTGAATGTCTGGAAGTCCTTTTAACTGTAACACCACTTTGATAGTGGAACTAATTCCTTAGCAAGGTAGTATGTTTCACTTAATATACGCCATCAGAGGTTGGACAGCCATGAGTTGGGGATGCCTTTATTTGGATCCCTCTACTAAGTTGTGGGGGATGGTGGAGATTTGCTGGTCCAAATATCCCCATGCAACTTATGATTGTAAGAGTGCATTATTTGTGCTGATAAGGTTTTGATTCAGTGTTCAGGATTAAAATGCATCCAGTGTTCCAGTCTCGTTTTACCTTGCTGTTTCCATAAAACTTTCCAGGTTTTCTTATTATTCCCCCTTATACATCTAGTCACTCATACTCTTCCCTTCCCTTTGTAGCTGCTTTCATATGCAGCATGATTTGAATCACAATACCATTGAGAATATTTTTAATTGGATGTTGTTCCTCTTTTTCCCAGCAGTGAGGAAAGGTTGTACATACAGCATGTATGTGGGTTGAGATACGAAGTGAGGTCTTTGAGAGATTAATTTGTCAGTTAACACTAAAGTGTCTTTGAGTTGGAAGAGGATGTTAGGACTGTTTGGATAATGGCAATAAGCTTTCAGGGTCTATAAGGGGAAAAGCATTAGATTACTCTGGCATGGTGCTGTCTGGAAAATATCCAGTAAAAACCTGAATACTTTCCAGGAAAATTGGCTTCTGAATCTGCTGACATTAACCAGAGAACATTATCAGCTAATTTGTCCATGGGATATGTGCACATTGTTCTTTTAATCTGATACTTTTTAGATATGGACAGAGGGGTTTCAAACTTGTCATCAATATTTCAGACCTCACTTTAGGAAATGACGGTGAAATCAGTGTTAAAAACTTTTGAAGACTCTTTTCCCTTTCTTATACTTTTCCTTCAAATATGCCAAATGTCAGCCTAGTTATTATTTGTAGATTTTGTACCTAAGGATGGTGTGAATTACATGGCATGCACTGAAACTTAGATATTTATGAGTGCATTTAAACTACATGAATTTCTTGTCAAATATGAAAGTTGCATGGAGGGAAAATTGGACATATTTCTTTTAAAATACTCTAAAATATTGGAATGTCCTTCCAGGTTTTTTTTAAATAAAATGCCCCATGCTCAAAGTGCCCTTTTGATTAAAGATATTACTCAAAGCTTTTGATTCCAGAAAATTAATTCATAAATGATTACCTTAATTTCAGACATACTTTACAAGGCAATTATAAACCATGTAGAATAACCGTTTTTAAACTCTGCATGCAGAGGGATGGGGGAGGAGAATCAAAAGTTTTGTGACGATGATGATTATGGTCAGTCCATCATAATGGGACAATGATGAATTATGGGAAGAGTAACGTGAAATTCTTTTAGTCAGTAAATACACCAAAACTTCCTTTGGCCTGGAGTTAGGTGCAGGCTTGGAAAAATCCAGTCTCATATTTATAGCTTATTGACTAGAGCAGAGGAGAGTGGAATGTATGATCTTACATTGATAGCAGGACAGGCTGATTTAGTGGAGCAAAAATGCTTAAATTAAAAACTTAAATTCATATATTTGAAATGTTGGCCTGGTAATTCTGTTCGCTTTTAAGATTTAATTTGAATTTGAATAGATGCCCACTGTTGGCTAACTTTAGAAATTTTGGCCTGAATTTATTTATTTGGCTAAAGCATACATTTCCATTTAAACAGAAGCTAAGCACTGATTCATCTTTCTGAAACTTTAGAATCATGTTGGGTTGGTAGATTGTATACCTAGTCATGAGCATGTTAAGTTTTTTTTTTTGTTATTATTATTATTATTCCAGGTAAAAGAAAGATCCAAATAAATGTACTTTCTTTCAAGTTATGAATTCGAAGGGCAAAAGAAAAATGAATAGGTGGAGAAAAATGTGAGAGTTCTGAAGTGAAGGAGTGGGTGTATTTTTTAAAAAATATTTAGCAAGTCAGTTATTTGCTCTCCCTCCTTTGAAAACAGTCTTAAAACAGGAAGGAAGAAGAGACAGCAAAATGAGGCTTCATTTGTTTAAATAACATGGTTTGTGAAAGTGAAAGCAGATTTCAAAGTCATCTTGTGAATTATTGTAGGTGCAAGTGTGAAGTGAAAGAGTTCCCTGTTCGGATAGATTGAGTGTGACATATACCCTCCCTCCACCCACCTTATTTCCCTTCCTCCCACCCTCCTCTCATTCAGCGACATCAACAAACCATCTAGCCCACAATGGTTAGTACAGCAGAGAGCTTGAAGCAGCTTGGGCTGAGGTCAAGCACTCCAATTCTAACCTCTCAAGGGCTTTCTCTATGTGTTGCCAGTGTACTGGTAAAAATGACTTTAAACTCTTGTCAGCGCAGTTACTGGTGCATGCATCGCAGTCCCACTCAAATAAACCTGTCACAACACAGAGTCAGCAGCTAGAGAAGAGTACAAGGGCAGGCCTCTAGCTTTTCATTCGAGCATCACTAAACGTGCACAGAGTGCCCAATTATTTCAGCATTATTGAGCAAGCCTACAGGAGGACCCAAGCCTTGCTACATTAGATTTTCTTTAGTAATTTGCTCAAGTACCGCTGAGGACACTTAAAGGACTTTAAACGGTGGCTGCAACCAGTTTCCTTTTCTGGATTGTTAATTCAGGTTTCCTTTTTTTCAAATTAACTCTTGCTGCATGCTGGGCGGCAGCTTGGGGAGAACAGTTTAATGCTCGTTTTCTCAATTTTCAGCTTTCTTTTTCTTCAATAAATAAATAAATTAAAAGCAAAACGTAATGGCCACTTTGATAGTCAACTTGTGCATTTGATTAGAGTTCTGTGCTCTTATGAAACTGGTCCTAGAAGAATAAGATTGAAGGAGTTTCACTTCAAATGGCAAAGTTTAGGGAGGCTTTTGTTTTTCTTTGGGATATGGCCCCTGAAAAATAGTATAATAGAGCTGATAATGTTGCTCTATTACTGTGTTGCACTCTCTCCCCCTAATCTTGACCTGAACCAGAGTTATTGTTTAAGGCAGCAGGCATTCAGAGCCAATGCGTTATACTGAGCTTTGGTTATAAGCATCACTCACATCCATCCTTTATTCTCACATACACTGAGTTTCTGCCCTTTTGTTTTTTTAAGGGTTGGAATAATTTGTAGCAAATCAGGATCATTGATTAGTTGACAGCCCTTGAAGATGCATGAGTCCAGGGCCACACATAGTTAGCCACGCCGAAAGTTCTCTTCCTTGGAACAAATTCAATAATGCTGTTTAATTTTTCACAGCAGCAGCAACTCCAGGCCCAGCATTTATCACATGGACATGGCCTTCCGGTGCCTCTTACTCCACACCCTTCAGGATTACAGCCACCCACCATTCCACCCATTGGCAGCAGTGCAGGCCTCCTAGCCTTGTCAAGTGCCCTTGGGGGGCAGTCTCACCTTCCAATCAAAGATGAAAAGAAGCATCATGATAGTGATCACCAAAGAGGTAGGAACTGGGGATTTTTTTGGTTTCAGAGATACTTGTTTCAAATGTTAAAAGGTAGAAGGCTCTCAGGAGGTTCCTTAATTTTCCTTTTTTCACTTCCTACCCTTGTCTTTCCTTCTACTGTAACTTTCTAATGCAGTCATATTGTCCATCTGAACTGGGAAATCTGGGAGCTATAGTTCAACACATCTGGAAGACCCCAGACTTGTAAAGGCTATTCTTTTGGTTCTCCATTTGTCTGTTTTAGACTCTGGGTTTTTGGAGTAGAGCCCTGCCTATTTAACAGAGAAAAGCTACAGGTGCATTTTGATCCTTCCAAAGCTTGGTTAGTCTGTAAGTGGAACTGAAGAGAAAGTGGCATTTTTCTCTACAAATGTCCATCCTATTTTAGTATGGGAGGGAATCAACATGCACTAGATCTGAAGACATTTTCACAGTGTTTGGGACCATAAAAGGAAACTGGGAGAACTGAGAATCCTTTGAGATTCCCTGACAGTGAGAAGCCCTGGTCTTAGCCACTGAAGGGGGATTCTCTCTGACTTTGGATTCCCTCTCTGAGATAAGAATCTTGTGTCCAGCCTCAAACAGGGTTCTCCAAAGAATCTTATGAGCCCTGAGTGGCTGCCCCATATCCCACGCAGCTTCCTCCAAATTCTCTGTAAGCTGCTATGGCATCTTGTGAAACTGATTTTGTTTAGCAGGGACTGATCTAGGTCAGCCTTATTTGCACAATTCTCATTCTTTTTCTTCTGCAAGAGAAAGTGGTCAAAAACTGCCAGTTATGATTTTCATATGTGCAATAGGGTTAGTTAATATAATAGATTATCCAACAATATTTTTGAATCCTGCCTTAATTTAACTAATAATGGTTAGAAAAAACTGAATTGTCTAAATAAAAAGAAGCCCTTTTTAGTTCCACGACAATGGAATAATGGAAGAGGAGAAAGGTGCAAGCAGAATGTGATCCAGAATAAACCAATGCATCTCTCTGTGTGTAATTAATAAATAACTGTGACATTTTTTGTGTTTTATAGTACATAGGTGACAATTTGGAAGGGTAATTAAATATTAAAGATTGAAGAGGCCTCTGTGCTAAGAAATCAGGATAAAATACAGAAGTAAGACTTCTGCAACTTGTTCACAATTCTCTCTGAAAAAGATGCTCAGCCCTATACTGTACTATATAATTTTGTGCTACTGGTACAGCATCTTTCAAAGGCTCTTGGTCAACCAGTTATGGTTAATGGAGTCAACTTTAAACATTGGGTGTACACACTTATTAATTAACCTTATCTCTACCAATTATTTTTTTAATGGGGACTGAGGTTGTGGTATGTTGTTTGGATAGGTTTGGGGAGATAGAAGAAATATACAGTCTTTTGTAAAATATCTTATATTTCTATCTCTTTCCTTCTCTCATTTGCTCATGTTGCTGCTGCTGTTCTGCATGAAGACAGAGACTCCATAAAGGTAAGACTCTATTTCACAGATGGAAGGAGTAGGCTAAAAGAATTGCAGTGCATTTTATTACAATTGAACTAAAGCATAGGAAAAGTTATTATTGTAACTAGATGGTGATATCCATATTGATTAGTCTTGGGTAGACAATTTCAAAACACTATATAAAAGTGAAATTCACTGCTGGACTATGTGAGCTTGCTCTGCACCATATCATCACAAGTGTTTCCCATTATCAGCTGGTATGGAGATGCTTCTACATTTGTTCCGATATACAGAAATCCTTTCCTTTGGGAAAAGACTCTGGCCCATCTAGTGTGAACGACCTCTGTGAATATATATTATCATCACCTGAGGAGAACATTTGCAAGCTTTCCGCAGACAGGGGAGAAAAGTGGCCTCATTCTGCATCAGCAGCTGATGGCAGAGCTGGCTTATGCAGCTCTGGACCTCCCATACTTGCATTCCTTCCATATACTGTATGTGGGGAGACATATGAAAGTCCCTCCAGACAATTGTCAATATTAATGTATGAGTGGTTGCTGGATGATCTGTTGGCCAGTGAGTCAAATTTATAATGTTCTTGTTTGCTGGCTAATTCTTGAAATCAAACTGCTGTTATCAGAAACTTATTGGGGAATAAAGCAGGGAAGGAATTTGGTACAGGAAGATCCTTCTGGGAGATGTTTTGTGTTCCATGGCAGGAAAGATTCATATCAGATTCTTCCTGCTTATCAATCTCCAAGGCGTTTTTCAATCCAGTCTGCATCTCTGTGAAGGCTGAAATGGCAGAGAACAAATACATCATGGACATGTGTTTTATCTGTTAAATGGCTTAAGTCCTATAATGTGAACCTAATAATGCATATTTCGGTGGGGTTAGCATTGGCATTTGGGAGATTATTCATATTTTAACAGACCCATATTGTACCAAAATAGTGCCTTTCAGAATTTTTAGCCTGAAATACATACTATATCTGGTCAATAATCTACTGTTAAACAGGAACTTCTCAGCTTGTATATGATGTAAAGTGGAATACTGAAGTCCTTCTAATACTCCTGAAGTCTGTGGGTTTTTTTAAAAAAATGTTTCTGCCAACTAGTTTCAGTAGTGACTAATATGAAAATATAAATGCTAAGACAATTTCATTAATCAAAGAACAAAAAATACTACAACAAATAAAAATCTGCCCAAAGCATAGTAAAATGACTTAAGCCAGAAAAATAAATTAAAAACCTTTATTTTCTAAACATCACCAATGAACCCGCCAACTCCTGTGGCATAAGGACATCAGAACCTAGTGATTCCACTCCAAAAAGCTTTGGCAGAGTGTAAAATGAATTAATTTTATACCATCAACATTTGGGAGCAGACTGCACATCCAGAATGGATTCCACATTTCATTTTGGTTCTTTTGAAGGAGATCCATAGAGAGGAAAAAGCCAATCTCACCTTTATTGGTAACAGAACATAAATAGTGCTAATGGTTTAGATCTCATGCTGAGAATTTTTGATCCCAGGTAGGTGGTAGCATTTAAAGGCCAATACTAGTTTTGCTTGTTTGTTTGTTTGAATGTTTATATGCTGCCTATCCTCTGCAAAGCTCAAGGCCTGGATAAAATTTTAAAAAATAAGGAAAATAAGGAGAAACAGCAGAGTATTGAAAGCCACAGCAGTACTTCAAATATAGGTGTAATGTCTGTTCTCTAGGGCCAGCTTAAGTTAATTATTTGGCTTCTGATGAAGTTTCAGTCATTTTTAAAAGACAGCTATTATTTAATTTGGACATAATCAAGATATGTATCACAGTGGCTAGGCCAATGTTTCAAAGAAGCAGCATTGCTGGCAAACAAATCCTAGTTAGTAAAGGTTTCTAGTTTGCCTAAAAAAATTGCTGGGTGAGTTTAGCATGAACAAGGCAAAGATATGGAGACAAGCACCTGGGGGGCGGGGGGAGGGAAGGAAGAAGCAAATTCTGATTTCCATCATAAATACAGCAAATGTTCTCCAAAGTTCTCATATTGTTTTTCAGAGATGCTCAGCCTGTATTAGGCTCAAAGAAAAAAAGGCAGTTCCAAACTTTGGAACAGATATTCATCAGGTACCTGTATTCACTGTATATACCTGATGTACTACTGATGTTCCACCTTCAGTTGATCATGGAGATTATGGGCATATTTTACAGGTGGGGAAAGTATGTTTAGAATATCCAGATGAAAGGAAGAATAATGAGATATCTAAAAGCTGTTCCATTTGCTAAACTTTGGTGGAGGCTTCATGGTTTCATATTTTATACCTTCGGAGTCTCTTTTTTTATATGATGAGAGGGGTCTGCAGCTTGATCCCCAAATCAGTCCTTTGCTGGTTTTGTTGGCCATTTTGTATGTTACAACAGAGTGGAATTGACCTTGTTCTTGTCAACTTCACAGTTAACCTCAGGGTCCCTAACAGCTACAAACTGATAGGAACTGTCAGTTTTCAATCCACAGTAATTTTCAATATGTGTGGCAGTGGCAGATTAAAAAGAGAGAGAGACCGACCTACAGATAGATCAGTTTCCCAGAGAACAAGGTCTAAAAATTTCCTTCCTCCCAGGGGAAAAAGACACTAACATGCACTCACACAAACACACTTTTTCTGTAGTGATACCCTAAGTAATGAACCATCAGAACAAGTTTATGAAGAAACACAATCAAATCTAAAATTGAGTCAAGTCTCTATAAAATGATGCCAGTCTTTTGAAATATTTTTGATAGCCAAATAGTAGAATGTCCTAAAGAATAAATCTTAGCAGCTGTCCCCTTCTGTGGTGACATAAGCTGAATGCATCCAGCAAAACCCCACTTTGGATACCTTTGGGGTATGAAGGTAGGTTTCAGACAGCAAGCATGAAGACTTGTCTTTATTATGAAGCCTCACCCTAGAACTCCTCCCCAGTGAGGATGGCCAGTCACTCTGCACTTTGATATTTAGAAAATGTAAAAAAAAAAAAAAAAAGTTTTGGATTAATGAACCAATGCGCTATTACTGCTTTTGCTATATTTTTTGTTGATGTTTTATGTTTGTTGCATGCCAAATTGATTTTAATATATATTATGAGATGAAAGTAAGCTACCTTTTCAGTTGCTTGGGATGGGGGTGTATAAATACTTAATGAATACTGAATACACCCTTCAATTTTCTCTGAATGTGAAGCCCTCTTATTCCAATTAATATTATGTCTTCAATATGAATGTTGGCATCCCCTTCCTCCCCCAATAAGGCATCTTGTAACTCATCAAGAAGCTGCATCTTTTGGGCATTTATAGTGGCTCTGGCCCCTTTTGCAAGAGCAAAATAAACTTCCTTTTTTTTTTTCTGGTTACCCAGAACTGCCAAACCAGAGTGGTTGTCAGGCAACTATCAGGCAGCTAATCATACACAGCTGTACAACTGCATGTTACTAATTGGATCACAAGTGGCTGTAGCTATTTCCATGTGCTTTGCCATAGCAGGATGTGCGAGGCTCTTTTATTAAAGTACCAAACTTTGTAAATTCTTTAAAAGCCAAATATTATAGGGCTGGGGAGGGGGGTGTTGTTTGTTTTACTTTTTTTCAGTGTAGGAACACTGAGAATTTATGGTTAGATGTAATTTGAAATTAAACCTAAGAAAGACATGTTAACAAATCCCTGAGTGAGTTGTGAGTATGTATAAATTCTCTTGCCTGCTGGCCAGCAGTGCTCAAAAAGTCAAGAAAGGGCAATGGGGATGAACCAATGAGGTGTGTCATTGTTTGGTAGATAAGACTAATTCATCTACAATTATTTGGGGTTACTCTTTTTCTAAACCATTAGGTAGGCATCCAGTGTGACAGCATGCAAAGTACAACTCTTTTTTCCACTGATTTATTAGATGATGATAGCTATAAATAAATGTTTGTCTTGTATAGCCATCAAGTATCAAAGTTGGATTGTGCCTGATCTAGGGCTTGTTGCCAGGTTTGCAAGGTGAAATAGTTTGCTAATTTCTTTAAATGTTATCCATAATACCCAGAGTAGCAGTTAGTTGCTTGTTCTATTGATTTGCTCTCTCTTAAGTGGCTCCTGGTTAAGAAAGGCTTTTTATGATTGTCTGCTATGTGACTTGAGATGGTTTTTATTGGCCAGAACGTGCCAGTTGCCAGCAGCTGGAGACTGTGTGCTTGTATGAAATAATTTATTCATGCAAGATAATGCTCCTTAACATTTAACAGGTAATGAACGTGACATAAATTTCCTCCTTGCTTTTAATTTTCCCTTTCCTCTTCTAATGTGCAAACAGGCAGCTCTGGTGCTCTAAATAATAAGTAATTTTTGGCCATCTGTCAAAAGGAAATTTCAATACAAATTTAAATTAATGGTGCCTGAAATTTTTTATAGCTCTTCTAAAAGCCTCTAATGTGCAGAAAATTCTGAATCTGCTGGTAGTAATTAGTGTACCATGTAATGAGGATGTGGGCAACATTATGCAGCCCCAGTGTAACATTTTGATATGGTAGCAAAAGTTTGATTTATACAAGGTTGTGGCTGGGTTTAATTGTGAGAGACACTTTCAAGTGTTTTCTTGAAGATACAGATTATTAAGCAGGGCAGATTTTAGAACAGCTCATAAAATGTAAATTTAGGTGTTGCTGTAAGAGTGAGATAATTAAGGTAACCTACTCACTGGTATGCAAAGGAGAAAAACCTGTCCAATTGCATTTATGTTCTGATATTTTGGAAAGGTGCTATTGCCACCAACACATGGTTGTCAACTTTGTCATTCACTCTTTCTCTTTTATGTTATAATTACACTGTTACTGAGTCCTGCCTCCCCCTTAATTCTCCCCAGAATAAAGGATTTGCTAAATGACGAAATAACTAGATATTTATTATTACATATTTCATTTATGAGTTGCTATGTAACTGAATAGGCAATATTTATTTATTTATTAAATTTCTCCCTGCCCATCTCCCCCCAGTGGGCACTCTGGGTGGCTCACACAAAACAT